GTCAAATAGAACTGCCCGGTAAACCGTAGGCAGAGAGGGAGAAGAGGACAACAAACGAGGGGCTGTGACAAACTGTTTCGTCGGAGTTTCACCGACTCATCAGGAGGCTGAATATATATATATTTAACCTATTATTTAATTCAGGAAAATTCTGGTAAAATCGGGTCCGCGGCGCGGACCAGGTCGGCCGCGGACGCGGTCCCATCTGCTTCCGCCATCCGAGATCGGACCCGCGGACGCGTCCGCGGGTGTTTCATAGCTCATTCGGGATTAATAGCAGTATTGGCGGCAACAAAGAACTTTGTTTGACTCGCAATAGCGTGGTTCAATAGTGGATTGATCTTCCTAGAAAATAAATGCAAGGCCTTCTCAAAAGACAAAGCCACACAGCGGTACGGACGGGAAATGAAAATCCATACAAAACTCCTTAGCCTGGAGAACCAGGCAACCTCACATGATCAAATAAAAACCATCCATCAATTAAATAAACAACTTCAGCAATTTGCGCAATGTAGATGGCAAGGGGTCAAAATTCGCGGAAAAATGTCCAAGCTCACTAAAGAAACCACAATGGATACACAATTTTTCAGTATGGTGACAACTCGTACTTGACGGACAACTATTGATGCCCTCTTCGATTCTGAAAGGGGAGAGGAAGTTATTGCAACAAACACAACTTATTGCGCTTTGATGAAAACTTTGTTCAAACAACTATACACGTCACATATCCAAAATCCAGATGAAGAGGTGCGAAAACGAGACATAAAAAAAATTATAAGACCTATGAACAAGTGTCTCTCCCCGCAACAAAGAGAGAGTCTTGATAAACCACTTGTTAAAGAGGAGGTTTGGACAACACTCCTCGAGATGGAAGAGGAGAAACATTGGATCTTGATGGTTTCCCTAAGGAGTTTTGAGAAAGTATGTGGTCGGATCTTAGTTCAGACCTATGAGAATACTTCCAGGCTGTATGGGAAGCTGGGGAAATGGGTGATGTAGTGGAAACGAGGTTGCTGTCTTTGCTGCATAAGAACGGGGATAAGATGAACCTTAGAAACTCCAGACCCATCACACTCCTTACTGTGGTTTACAAAATGTTGGCAAAGACCTTGACAAACTGGATGACGACGGTAATGGAGGATGTAATTCATCCGACACATACATGTTTTATAAAAAAAAGGAACATTCAAGATAACATTTTAAACATGCAGTTCGTGAAAACTAGACTGAAACGAAAGTTCATTTTGCCAGATTTTGTGATACGGTTTTTGATGAACTAGTTTTTAGAGCAAGATTTAGATATCAGGCGTATGGATCACAACAAGACAGGTAAAAAATAGGTTTTCAAGATAACGTATTTAACCTTGCGATTAATGTCTCACGACCACATAGTAAAATCCAAGTTTTTTTCACATCGAAGGAGTTCAAAGAAGCCATGTCAATAATATAACAGTTTTGCAGAAAATTTGAGGTTAGCCACAAACACAGTTGAGGCAAAGAGCCAATTCCTCATTGCCATCACCAAGTCTGTGTCCACAAAAACAGACAAAGAAAATTTCATTGCATGTACGAAGGGCAACAACTGTCTCATTGCAAGTCCCAACAGTAAGGCAGAAAGACCACAACTATCCAAGCATACCCAAGATAAGCAAGTGGGCAGGTTCCTATGTACTTGGCAACATTGGTGGAAGAAGCTCAAACATTAAAAGTGATTAATATCCCAAGAGAGCCTATAGAAAATATGTGCCGCATAAAAGCACCAATGCAACAAGGCCATAACCAAATCATCAAACCTATGCGAGGCGAATGGAAGGTCCCTATCAACTCATGCATGCCTGAAGCCTCAGGTGTGTCTCAAACCCTCAGACACAGTGCGGCTGTGGCTGTCCTTCTCCTTCGTGGCGCTCTCCACAAAATCTCTCCCTGCCAACCTTGCCCTGATGCCCCTTACACAACGCAGATCGCTTTCAACAACGAGCACATTTCGTTTGCACAACAGTGCTGCAATGGCTCCAGTCCCCGATCCAGAAAAAACATCCACTATGTATGAGTCATTCGGGTTAGAAAACTTCTTGATGAGCCACTCATACAAGGAGATCGGTTTCTGGTAGGGACACAAAATCTCATTGTCTGCAGCAAAAGTGTACTTTCTCACCACCGCATTGTGACTCCAGCAGGTCATCCTCGTGTCAGAGTCGCTGAACTGAAACTGAATGGGCTCCCTGGAGCCGCTCTGACTGTAGAAACCAAGAACACAATGCTGCCAGCAGTTAGTGAGCTTGAGACATGCACAAGTCCTAATGTTGGGAGCAACCCAAATGCCCACCTCCACCCCACAATTGCAAGCATCTGAAAATGCAGATTTCACGTCAGCAAGCATGTCAGAGGAGCAGAAACCAGCAATGACCCAATATGGTGCACATGTGATCTTCATGAAGCTCGCAATGGTGCCCTCTATCTGAGGCCTACTGAACGGCTCCTGATCATCCACAGAACCCTCTGCGTTGTAGCCGCATGGGAAGTCCATAATGCACAAGGTGAAGGGGAGTCTGTCCTCCATTTTCTCTGGTAGTTGGAGCATGTCGCAGTGCGCCACCTTCACAGTTCCCTTGTAGCCCTCCCTCTCAAAAGCAGTCCAGCTTGTGAGAAGACCCTCAGGATCTTGTGTTGCTGCTGTCTGCTCCTCTTGCTGTGATGCCGGAGCTTGTCCCTGTAGTTGAGGGCCTTGGCAATGTACAACTGCATAGCAAGAGGAGTTTCCTTGACATTCCTCTCATACAACTTATAGTACTGAGACAGCATAGCCTCTTGCATATGCACAAAGAACTCCTCATTGGCAGCCTCCCAACTGCCTGCCCCTACCCCTTCCACGAATGCCGCAGCTGTTCTCTGACGAATCTTAAGAAGCGTGAATGTGGTTCATCTCGTCAAGCGACAGGACCCCACTCTTAACTTCTGTGAGGATTGGAACCACCTGAGCATCATCGAGCGCAGCCGTCCCCAGTAGAGGCTTGTAAGGCATATCTGCAGGCTCACTCACTATCTCATTCTTTTCAGAAACATATATCAGAGGATTGAGTGCCATGAGAGAAAGGCGCTCCTGACAAACATCTTTCTTATTCTTTTTCATTGGCCTTCCACCCTTTTCCCCCTTCCCTGTGTCACTGCCAGATGCACTCGACTCAGCAACCTCAAGCGACTTGACCTTCTTACCACCCGTGCCCTTCTTCATCTTCACATCTTTGATTTTTGTCTCCTCCCACAAAATGAAAATATCAGATAGCAAAGCCCAAACCTGTGGCCCTCTCATGCAAATTTGAAGCTGAGGATCCCAGGGACCAATTTGGTTCCATGAAAAAGCCGGGATACCAAGCGCCTCCAAACATGCCCTTTTGGCCTCATTCGATTTCTCACACCCCATCCTTTCGAAAACATCCCTCCAGCAGCGCATCCTCTAAACGAAAGTCAACTTTTTGTGATAACCTGCTGCATTGTTATGCTCATGACCAACCAGCAGCGACTCCTCAACAGTAAGTCCCACGTACACATAGCAAACATACCTCTTATAGAAGTCAACGTGAGAGTGCTTCACCATCAAACGGCTGCGTGCCTCACGACAATGACCGCCGCCCAAAATCCAAATGGTGTAGCCCCCTGACCGCAACTTCTGCACATCCACCTGATCAACTGCTGTACACTCAGCTGGGTCAATCATGCCCACAAAAGGCAAGTGGTCCCCACAGGGCGCCCTCTCCATAGACGCCATGAGGACCCTGACGTGGTACTCTGCGGGGAATCTGACCTCCCTTGATCTCCACCCGTCGGGAGTGTCCACAAGAGGCCGGATCATGCAGGACATTGGCAAGCTCAAAATGTCCTCAGTTACCTTCTTCGCATTCAAGGAGACCAGCCTGCTCCAAATCCTCTCAAGAGTTGTCCCAACCGCAGGCTCTGGTTCAAGATCCGCCGCAGTAGTGGCAGTGTTTGCGGATCTTTTCCCTTTCCCACCAGAACCCCCACTTCCCTTGCGCGCCCTCTTGCCTCGCCCTTTTGGACTGCGCTCTTCTGCAGCAGGAGGCCTAATCACAACTTTCTTCCTCTTTTGCAACTGCTGCTGTTGTTGCTGCCCTGGGGACTGTGCAGGGTGTCGCCTCGGCGCAACCATATTTGTATTCAGAACAATCGAGGGCTGCCGACGAGAGGGTCCCTCTTGAGATTGCCTGTGCGAAGTAGTTCTACTGCTCTCTGCAGGTGGCAGCTGGGACACCGCCGGTGTCTGCTGAACGGGAGGAGGACCACGAACAAGCATTTCTGAAGAAGACGTGAAGCCAACGCGAACCGAGTGTGGGACATCAGGAGGAGCACCCATCTGCGAAAAAGGGTGGTAGACACCACCACCAGACAAAGGTGGGAGAGGTGAAGACTGAACGCCCCCAATAACCGCGCGGTTTGCCATGAAGGTAGTATAATAGAAACAAATGTACGCACTAAGCGTATCGCAGAACAACTGTCACAGAGTAAGAGAAAACAAAAGACAAGCAGCCTATCAGACACACTGAGCAACAACTGCAAACAATCGATGACAGATCTGCTAACATCATGATTAATCTCGCTGAACTCGTTGATTGACAACTGTCGTGCTTGAGCGCTAAACTGACATATTCGGTGGTTGGCCAACAGGGTGCAGGTCACTGACACACTAAGCAGCAAAAAAAAAAAAACAACAACAACAACTGACACAGATAGGTTTGTCACTCAATCCATCAATCATTCAATCAATCAATCAATCAATCAATCAAGCAAGCAAGCAATCAATCAATCAGTCAATTGGCCAATGACTCAAAAGTAGTTCTTGTGTGTCCCCAGGTCAGCTGCAAGGTCCAACAGTAGTTCTGGTTCATTGAAACTTGCATTGCCAAGTGAAATTGATTGATTGATTGATTGATTGATTGATTGATTGATTGATTGATTGATTGATTGACCGATAGATCGATTGAAAGCACCCGTACTAGTTCTGGTTCACCATAACGCAGCTCCCCTGCAGCAGAGGTAGTTCTGCTGCAGTGCTAGTTTCGGTTTATTAGAACGCAGCCCCCCTGCAGCAGAGCTGAATCCGCAGCAGAAGAGGCGGGTTCTGATGCACCAGAACTGGACCTCTTGATTGACCGATTGGTCAGTTGATTCACTGATTACCCGATAGATTGATTGATTGGAAGCGCCCATACTAGTTCTGGTTTACCAGAACGCAGCTCCTCTGCAACAGAGCTAGTTCTGCTGCAGTGCTAGTTCTGGTTTTTCATAATGCAGCTCCTCTGCGTCAGAGCTTAATCTGTTGCAACAGAGTCGGGCTCTGATGCACCAGAACTGAACCTCTCAACTGATTGATTTGTTGAATGGGCTGATTGACTGATCAAATAGATTGACTGATTGAAAGCACCTGTACTTGGTCTGGTCAGTCAATCAACCAATCAATCTTGGGGAGGGATGGGCGATGCTTCGTGTGGGATTGGTCATCCCCACTCAGACGCCTGTCTGAGGCACTTCCACGATGGAATCGATTACGTAATCGATTCCGTCGTGGAAGTGCCTCATACAGGCGTCCGAGCGGAGTAGAGGGAGGGATCAATCAATCAATCAATCAATCAATCAATCACATTCATTGCTGCTCGCCATCGTCCCACCCCCGCTCCTCCTCCGCCATCAATCAATGAATGTGATTGATTGATTGATTGATTGATCCCTCCATCGCTTCCACCATTCACTCGGCTCAGACGCCTGTATGAGGCACTTCCACGACGGAATCGATTACGTAATCGATTTCGTTTTGGAATCGCCTGACCAAGGGACCTGCACGGGCCACTTCGCCGCTACAGAATCGATTACGTAATCGATTCTGTTTTGGAAGTGCCTGAAACAGGCACCCGCACGTGGCGGTTCGCCACACTCAAGTGCCTGTTTGAAGCGTTTCCAAAACAGAATCGATTACGTAATCGATTCTGTTTTAGAACCTCCTCAAACAGGCACTTGAGTGTGGCGAACCGTCGCGTGCAGGTGCCTGTTTCAGGCGACTCAAAAAAAGAATCAATTACGTAATCGATTCTGTTTTCGGATCGCTGCATAACAGGCGTCCGGGCGACGTACAGGCATGTAACAGGAAGGGAGGGGGGGGGGGGTATGAAGGATATGTAATACAACTGTGGCTCCAATATGTTCATGGACTAGCAGCTTGTACCATACCAATTACTACTCTCACTCCGGGCCCGTGTAAGCAGTCACAACGAGAGAAGCTCTGCAGAGACGGTCGATGTGACAGTGGAAGGAAATGAATCCCTGTAAATCCGTTTGACTGCACGTATATGCTGGAGTTATGTGAGCAGGACAGTCTTTGATGCTTAATCATAGCTGGGGTTATCACTTACAGTATCATTGGCTAGGGGACTCTGTAGACCTGTCTCTTATACACATCTAGATGTGTATAAGAGACAGTAGCTGGGGTTATCACTTACAGTATCATTGGCTAGGGGACTCTGTAGACTGTGGAGGGTTCAGCCACCTGATGAGTCAGTCGGTGGAACTCGATCAAAACAGTCTGTTATAGCCCCTTGTTTTTTGTCTCTTCTTCTTCTCTTCCTACAGATAACCGGGCAGTTATGTGCGAGGACAAACTGTAGAGGGGGCAGTTATGTATGACAACAGACTGTGGAGGGGGTCAGACTGTAGAGGGGACAGACTCTAGAAGGGACAGACTGTAGAGGGGACAGACTGTAGATGGCGCAGACTGTAGATGGGGCAGTTGTGTATGAGGACAGACTGTGGAGGGGGCAGTTATGTATGAGGACAGACTGTGGAGGGGGCAGTTATGTATGAGGACAGACTGTAGAGGGTTCAGCCTCCTGATGAGTCAGTGAAACTCGATGAAATAGTCTGTCAGAGCACCTGTTTTTTGTTCTCTTCTCCCTCAGAGTCTCTGCCTATGGTTCACCTGCCATTCCTCAATGACCATATAATATTATATGTAAAAATAAAATGATCGGGCCAGGATGTCAGGAATGCAGACACCGGCAGACAGAGGTCGCCAAACAAAATTTTCCTCCCACCCATATCCGACCCAATCCAAGCCTTCATATATCATGTGTACCCGCACCCAATGCCAACCACGTCATTTTTTTTTTTTTTACCCAGACCCACCCCACCCGAGCTAATTAATTTTTTTTTGTACCCGTGCCCAGCCACACCAAGCATCTGCAGTAGAATCCTTACCCCTACCCAGCCACACCCAGGCCTAAATTTTCTCCACCCGCATCCGGCCGCACCCACGACCAATTTTCATCCACCCATGCCCGACTGTACCCATGCCCAAAGTTTACGACCCACCATGCAGTTCTTTTTTTCCCCGATTTCAAACTTAGGTCTATGCATGTTAGAACTTTACTTTCCATCTTCAAACCACCGCACTCGCGACAACTTTGTTTTTAATAATTCGATAAGACATTCAAAAACTTGAACTTTGAAGTAACATTGAGAAAACGACAAGCATATCAAACATTTGAATGGGTTGCAAAGGAGGGTCAGCGAACTCTTTTTCCTCCTCCAAAAAGGCCAGATGCCCAAGGCTTGCATTACGTGATGAACACAAGACCCCTATGGAGAACTGGTATAAGGTCTCGCAGCAAAGCGCTCCAGGGAGGGGATCATTGATTACTCGCACTACGTACTCTCTCTCTCTCTCTCTCTCTCTCTCTCTCTCTCTCTCTCTCTCTCTCTCTCTCTCAGTCTGTCAGCCGTGTTCGACTACAGCACATTCAGCATGCATCTGGACGGCTTGAACGGCCAAGTACATTTATACTTACCTTCTTGTACATGTGTCGGTAGTAGACTCGGTACCATCTCTCTCTCTCTCTCTCTCTCTCTCTCTCTCTCTCTCT